TAGAAAACTTGTTTTCTGTCTCCCTCAGACATGACATGATTTGGGTGTGTTAATTTTGTATCCTGCAGCTTTGCTGGATTTGTTTATTCTAACAGTTTTGCGTGTGTGTGTGCGTGTGTGTGTATATCTTTAGGTTTTCTACATGTAAGATCATGTTGTCTATGCACAGAGATAATTTTACTTCTTCCTTTACAGTTTGGATATCTTTTATCTATTTATTTATTTTTTTGCCTAATTGCTTTGGCTAGGACTTCCAATACTGTGTTGAATAAAAGTGTTAAGCGTGGGCATCTTTGCATTGTTCCCAGATCTTAGAGGAAAAGCTTTCAGTTTTTCACCATCAAATATGACTTTAGCTGTGGGATTTTCACCTTGGGCATTTATTATGTTGAAGTAGTTTCCTTCGGTTCCTAGTTTTTTGGGCGTTTTTATCATGAAAGAGTGGAATTTTGTCAGATATTTTTTCTGTATCAGTTGCGATGATCCTGCAGTTTTTTGTTCTTTATTTTGTCAGTGTGGTGTGTTGACACTGGTTTTCATCTGCTGAATCACGCCATCCTTATGTGTGCAGAATAAATCCCACTTGGTCATGGTGTAGAATCCTTGGAACGTGCTGTTACGTCCAGTTTGCTAGTATTTAGTTGAGGATTTTTGTATCAGTACTCCTCAGATAGTGCTCTGTAGTTTTCTTCCAGTTTCTTTGTCTAGCTTTGGTATCAGAGTAATGCTGGCCTCATAAAATGAGGTTCAAGGCTCCCTCCTCTTAATGTTTTTGGAAGAGTTTGAGAAGGATTGGTGTTAAGTCTTCTTTAAATGTTTGGTAGAATTCTCCAGTGAAGTCATCTCGTCCTGGGCTTTTCTTTGTTGGAAGATTTTTGATTTCTGATTCAGTCTCCTTACTCGTTGAAAGTCTTTTCAGATTTTTTATTTATTCATAATTTAGTCATGGTAGGTTATATGTTTCTAGGAATTTATCTGCTTCTTCTAGGTTATCCAATTTGTTGGCATATAATTAATTGTTCGTAGTAGTCTCTTATAGTTTCTATTTCTGTGGCATTGGTCATAAAGTCTCCTCTCACGTTTCTGATCTTAGTTGAGTTTACTCTCTTTTTTCTTCGTTAATCTAGAGTAGTTCATGGCTTTCTATTCCCGAATGACATTCTTCATGTAGATGTACCACAGTTTGTTTATTCACCTATTGAAGGACGTCTTGGTTGCCTCTAGGTTTTGTCAGTTATGAAAAAACTACTGTAAACCTTCATGTTTTGTGGACATAAGCTTTCAACTCATTTGGGTAAATACATAGGAGCATGATTGCTGGGTTATATGGTAAGAGTGTGTTTAGTTTTGTAAGAACTGCCAAACTGTCTTCCAAAGTGGCAGTTCCATCTTGCATTCCCTCCAGCAGTGAATGAGAGTTCCCGTTGCTCCACATTCTCGCCAGCATTTGGTGTTGTCAGTGTTTTGGATTTTAGCCGTTCTAAGAGGTGTGAGGTGATATCTCGTTGTGGGTTTGATTTGCATTTCCCTGATGATTAGTGGTGGTGAGCACCTTTTCATGTATCTTTTGGCCACCTGTGTGTCTTCTTTGGGAAGTCTCTATTCAGATCCTCTGCCCATTTTTTAATTGGATTTTTTTTTCTATTGAATTGTGTGAGTTCTTTATATATTTTGGATGTTAGTCTCTTATCAGATAAATAATTTGAAAATATTCTCTCTCATTAGGTAGGTTGCCTTTTCATTTTGTTGATGGTTTCCATTGCTGTGCAGAAGCCCACTTATTTATTTTTGCTTTTGTTGCCTTGGGTTTTGGTGTCAGATCCAAAAACTCATCACCAAGACCAATGTTAAGGAACTTATGCCTGTGTTTTCTTTTAGGAGTTTTATGTTTTCAGGTCTTATGTTTAAGTCTTTAATTCATTTTGAGTTAATTTTTTTCTATGACGTAAAATAGTCATCCAGTTTTATTTTTTTCCATGTTGCTGTCTAGTTTTCCGAATACCATTTTTCTCAGAGACTGTCCTTTCCCCATTGTATGTTCTTGTCTCCTTTGTCATAAATTAATTGACCATATGTGTGGGTTTACTTCTGGGCTCTCTATTTTGTTCCATTGATCTATATGTCTATTTTTATGCCAATGTCATACAGTTTGGGTTATTATAACTTTGTAGTAAAGTTTGAAATCAGGAAGTGTGATGCTTCCAGCTTTGTGCTTTCTTAAGATTGCTTTGGCTACTCAATGTTTTTTGGTGGTTCCATACAAATTTTAGGATTATTTGTTCTATTTCTGTGAAAAATGCCATTGGAATTTTGATAGGGATTGCATTGAATCTCTAGATTGCTTTGGGTATGTGGGCATTTTAACAGTATTCTTCCAATCTATGATGACATCGTATTTTTCCGTTTGTTTGTATCGTCTTCAATTTCTTTCATCGGTGTCATAGTTTTCAGTGTACACGTCTTTCACCTTCTTGGTTAAATTTATTTCTAGGTGTTTTATTCTTTTTGATTCAATTGTAAATGGGACTGTTTTCTTAATTTCTCTTTCTAATGGTTTGTTATTAGTGTATAGAGATGCAACAGACTGTTGTATATTATTTTGTGTCCTGCAACTTTACTGAATTTGTTAATTAGTTCTAACAGTCTTTTGGTAGAGTCTTTAGGGTTTTCTATATTTGGTATCATGTCATCTGCAAACAGTGACAGTTTTACTTCTTCCTTTCCAGTTTGGATCCCTTTTATTTCTTTTTCTTGCTTAATCGCTCTGGCCAGGACCTCCAATACTATGCTGAGTAAAAGTGGCAAGAATGAGCATCCTTGTCTTGTTCCTGATCTTAGAGGTAAAGCTTTCAGCTTTTCACCATTGAGTGTGATGTTAGCTGTGGGCTTTTCACACGTGGCTTTTACTATGTTGAGGCATGTTCCTTCTGTATCCACTTTGTTGAGAGTTTATCATGAATGGATGTTGAATTTTGTCAAATGCTTTTTTCTCCATCTCTTGAGATGATCATATGATTTTTCTCTTTCATTTTGTTAGTGGGGTGTATCATATTGATTGATTTACAGATGTTGGACCATTCTTGCATCCCTGGAATAAATTCCACTTGATCATGCTATATGATCCTTTTAATGTTTTATTGAATTTGGTTTGCTAATATTTTTGTTGAGGATTGTTGTTCTATGTTCATCAGAGATATTGGCCTGTAATTTTCTATTGTTTTGTTGTTGTTGAGTTTTAGGAGTCTTTTCAACTATGTTTTGCATACCAATCCTTTATTATATATGTACTTTACAAAGATTTTCTCCCAGTTTTTGGTTTGTCATTTCATTCTCTTAACAGTGTCTTTCACGGAGCAGACATTTTTAATTTTAATGAAGACTAGCATCAATTTTGCTTTGATGGATTGTGCTTTTGGTGTTGTATCTAAAAAGTCATTGCCAACCCCAAGGTTACCTGGATTTTCTCTGTGTTATCTTCTTGGAGTCAATTCTTTTTCAGGAAGCTGTGCTCAACACTCTGTACTTGGTTTTGTCTCTTTCTTTTTCCTTTGGTATCTAGTTTTCTCATTTCCAGTTTTATTATTCATTTAGCAAGCATCTCTTGAGCATCAAGTGTGTTTCAACTTTATCACTCTAATGAAATATTTATTTAGAATATAATTGGATTAAATAAAAGAAGTTCTCCCTTGGATTGTGCTTTTTTGGTATAAAGACAAGCGTTCTCCATCTCCAAAATTCTTTGCTCTTGTTCTCTAAGAATGGTCCTCAGAGAATAGAGGCAGCTGGCGTTTACTTAGTGCTTCTTATTTGCCAGCGTGAGATTAGTGTACTTTATAAACTTTGTCATTTAATCATGACGGTAGTTGTTGTTTATGATATTGTATCTTAGTTTCTGTCATAAATTGATAACTGACTTGATTCATCTCAAAAATTTTCACCATTTCTTGAAAGTTAAGTTCTCCCGATGGTATTAGGAACTGATGAAATACGCTGCCTCCAGATCTTTTTCCTTAACCCAGCGTTTCACAGACTAAAAGGAAAAGCACAACAACAACAACAAATAAAATCCCTTCTTTCAAGTACAGAAAAAAACCCATGTGTATGGGGATTGCCTGTATTTTTTTTGAAGTGAAATTAGTCTTTTTGCAGTCAAATTAAGCAATAAAAATATTTAATCTTGATTCTAAGATAATATTTATGTTCAGAGTGAGAAGTTTGGTTTTTGCAAGGTGTCCTGGCCTAAAAACTGTCTGTATTGCAGGAGATGTGGGCTTTTGCAGAGGTTCCAGTTTGATCCTTTCAAGTGATAACAACATCAAAGTTTGCTGTTTTCACATTACATGTTTTGGAAGACTCTTATTTCTAAATTTAATCTTAACCTTGTGCTTTTTTGAGAACAAGGAGGGCCAAGGCCTATTGAATACTTGATTTTGGAGGGTGTTTCCATACAGTTTGCTTCTTTTTTCTTTTATTTTAGATCTCAACTTCCTTTCCTCTCTCCTCTCCATCTTTTCTCCTTCCTTATTGTCACCTAAAAATAATTTCTTTATGGTTGAATTTGAAGTTTTATTATGGTTTAGTTTCTTTCTGATTTAGGAACTTTAATTTTATTAATCTAGGTATGATATTCCTGATCACACTCATGTCTGGTATTTATATTTCACATTTTATTTTCATTTTTCCGTATTGAACATCCGTATTTTCCACAATGAACATGGTTTACATCTTATAATCAGTAGGGAAATGGCTGTTAGCTGGCCCCAGAAGGCAGCGGTGGAGTGAGCTCAGCTTGCTCCTGGGTACTCATTCCACTGCTGTGTTGACCTGAGAGTCCTCTTGCCTGTCTGATGCCGTCTTGAAATTGTTACTGGAGCCTTGGAGAAATGGTGGACGGTCAACTATTTATTATTCCTTAGCAAAGTAGTATTTTTTAACTGGTTTAAATACACACTGCTTTAATCCATATGCCTTTTTTCCACCCTTTCTTTTTTTTCCCACAGTCACCAGAGAAGAAAGGAAAAGCAGCAAATACTGGTTTTGGTGGGCCAGTTGTTAGTTCTCTGTATCACGAAGAAATCATCAGGTAATTTCTGTTCTGATGTTCGATAATAGGGATATAAACATACATGTATATGTGTATATATATGTGTATGTGTGTATTTTTTTAGTCCTGAAAACTTCCACTTGTGAAGAACTTTTACTTAAGATGGAGCTGATTGGGTAGTATCTCTAGTAGGATAATGAATGTCAGGAAAGAATTTTTTAGGTGTATAATCTTTAAAATCACTAAGTGTCTGGATCAGTGCCAGATAGTAACTTTTCCCGCCACATAAGTAGTTGGTGGGGCAAGGTTTTGTGTCTCAGATAATCTAAAGCTGTGGATTTTTGTTGTTGTTGTTAGTTTTCCTCAAAACAATATTATTTCTTTTGAAGACTTTTATTTTGGGCTCTATATCCAAAAGAATTAAAAGCAGAATGTCAAAGGCACATTTGCACACCCATGTGCATAGCAGCATTATTCATAGTAGCCAAGAGGTGGAAGCCACCCAGTGTCCCTCAGCGGATGAATGGATAGACAAAATGTGGTGTGTACATATAATGGAATACTATGCAGTCTTAAAAAGGAAGGAAATTCTGACACATGCTAGAACATGGATGAACCTTGAGGACATTGTGCTAGGTGAAATAAGCCAGTCACAAGATGATAAATACTCTCTGATTCTACTTAGATGAGGTATCAAGAGTAGTCAGACTCATAGAAATAGAAAGTAGAATGGTGGTTACCAGGATCTGGAAGGAGTGGGAAATGGAGCGTTGTTATTTAACGGGTATAGAGTTTCAGTTTTGCAAGATGAAAAAGGTCTAGAGCTCTGTCGCACAACAATGGCGAATGTACTTCACACTACTGAACCGCACACTTGGAAGGGATGAAGATGGTAAATTTTATGTTATATGGGGTTTTTTAACCGTGATTAAAAGTTTATTAAAGGTTATTTTGTATTGTTTAACAAAGGTCTTAAATTTTGTATGTTATGTATAAAATTTCTAGGGTCATCGTTTTCTTTCAGCACTGTGTTTGTGGACGTCAGGAAAAGGATTCTGTCTTGCTTTAAAGTCATGTACACATTTTTCTAAGATTGTTGCTTTACAAAAACAAGAAATAGGAATCTCTCTTGCTCTTATTCTTTTTGAGTTATCTAAACTTTACTTATTAACATGAAATAAATAGGCTCTAATTTTCAAGGGGAAAATTGGGTTCACCTAAATATATTGGGGGGGAAATATCTATTTTCATAGAGTGCAGAGGAAATTGTACCAAAAATGTATGCTCCACTCTTGTAGAAGAGTTTGCTGACGTTATCTACCACATAAAGAAGTGGTGATAAGAGCTTACAGCATCGTTCTAGGAGGAAAGTTATTGATACCGCTATGAAGCAAAAACTAAACACTCATAGTTTCCAGTTAATGACCAGTCAGTTAATACCGAGGATCCTGTCTTGAATCTATTTGCATAGCAAGCACACCATTTTTACTTAGATTAAATGTTTATTTGGGGTGGGATAGGGGAAGGCTGATGGAGATTTGAGGAGAAAAAAAGGTACCTTTTAGGGCTGCTACTGGCCTGGAGTACATTTGCCACCCTGATCACTTGTAGGGACCCTGAGAACTCTGAGGAGCCCACTCAATTTTGAGGAAGCATAGTTTAAAAAATATTTTGAATGTAACCCTCCTTCCCCTCAATCCTTATATATTAAGAGGTATTTTGGGGGTTCTTAATTGTATATTTTGTCTTTAGAGTCTTCTAAAAAATGGCGTCTTAGAACCTTAACCCTCCTAATCATAGTTTATTAAATGTTCAAATCAGGTCAGTAAACCTTTAGGGTAGTTTTTCTACATGATAGGAGGAGAGGTTAGTCATTCCTTCTGTTTTCCCGTGGTCCTTTGTTTACGCTTTTGTTATAGCATTTATCACGTCATACCATGTTGAATTATCATTGTAAAAAAACCAAAACGTTATTCTTTTCACTAAACTTTTAGTTTTTGGAGGCCAAACATCAGTTTTTTCCAGCTCTGTATTCTCAGTATCTGAAGAACTTCCCAGAGCTTAGTAGGTATCCAGTAAAAGTACCCAGAACTCGAGAAGTGTCCATGGCTGCTTCCCTCGAGGAGCCGACAGTTAGTGAGTGTTGCTCACATGGAGTTAAATGGTGGCCCTATCACAGCAGAGAGCTGCTGGTTTGGTTTTCCTGTGATATTCCCATCCTCACCTCTTTTCCTAAACAATTAAAAAGTATGTATAGGCTACTTTCCTTTCCTAGTGAGATAAATAAATTCAGATAGTTCCTTGACTTTGCCTTTTTTTTTTTTTTTTAAGGAAGATTAGCCCTGAGCTAACATCCACCACCAATCCTTTTTTTTTTTTTTTTTTCCTGAGGGAGATTGGCCCTGAGCTAACAGCTGTGCCCATCTTCCTCTATTTTATATGTGGGGTGCCTGCCACAGCATACCTTGATAAGCGTTACATAGGTCTGCACCTGGGATCCAAACCTGCAAACCCTCGGCCACCGAAGTGGAGCACGCCAGCTTAACTGCTACACCACTGGGTTGGCCCCTTGACTTTGCTTTTTTAAAATCACTTTACTTAACTTTCTAACAATATCAATCACTTATCAGTACATAGTAATGTTCTTTATTTTGTGTGCTGATTTCTTTAAGGATACTCAGACTCTAGTATTTTTCAAAATGACATGCTGAATATAGTTTCTTTTGGAATGTCCAGTGACGTGACTGCTGGCAGTAGCTCTCAGAACAGAAAGCACATCCTGTGTGCTCCAGCTGAAGCGAGAGTGGACAGCTGGGTAATTGGAGGTATTCCTAAGATAGGGTTGAACTGCATTGAAAGAGTTAACGTATCTGCTTATCCTCTACCCAACTCCTGAAGAAATGACTCTTGGATTTAAATCAATATTTAGAATTTTGATTGTGAGAAACAATAACAAAATAATGTAGCTTATTTTCATAGAGATTTTAATTCAACTCAACACACATTTATTATGAATCTATCAGACAAGATATTGTGGATATTTGTGCTTCTCAACTTCTTTACTTTTGAAAATGGTCTGTTCTTAGTATTTTGGCATCCTTATGCAGGTTTAACGAGCATTATCAGTTAATCAAATGCAATGTGAACCTCTGCTGTGGGCACACTGGTTAGTCTTGGCCTGAGTTCATTAAGTCATCTAAGTATTAGTCTTCTTATGATATGATCTAAGTCTGTATTCTGGAACATATCGTTAAGTTATGGAACAGTAAGAAACAAGAATGTGAGAGAGCCACTGAAAGCCCTCTAACTATTATGAACAGTAATTTTGCTCCCACTATAGTAGATCAGAAATCACAGCAACTAGTCATTTTCTTATGTTAGAGAATTCGTATGTAATTGAACAGAATCCCAGTGTAAATAAAAATTATTCTGTGCTGAAACATTGGATTATTCCAGGAAAGGCCCAGATGGAGTCCCTGTGCTTTCTTAAGCATAAAAATGCAGTTTGCAACAGTGATAACAGGCCATTTGTTGAAATTTGTACAATCAGATTTTGTGTGTACTTTGGTGTAATACAGTATCCAGTGTTTTATTTTTCCAAGAGAAAGTTGTGCCTTAATTGAGGTTAATTGCAGTTTCTTGGCGGAATTTTGTTCAGTTGAGGTGAAAGTGACAGTAGGTTTTGGAGTTTTAGAAACATCAAATGGTAAACCTGGATGAAAGGAGAAGTTTTCTTCTGTAGAACCATCGTTTTTAAAAAGAACATAAAAAATGTATTTTGAAGGTCTGTTTTGGATACTTTAATGTATAAACCTCTAATTTTTTTTTCACATTTTTAAAGATCAGGCAAATCAGTATCCAATAAACCCATAAGGCTTGGGCTCCGTTGTTGTGGCAGCTTTCCTGACTAATTTGCATTGTAGGCGATGAGTTAAGGGCCCATTTTAGTTTTATTGTAAATGTTCTTGAGCCAAGGGCCACTGGGGCCAGTTCTGAGCTTGCTCCCTGCCTGTTTTGGTCTGACCTTTGTTTCCACTCTGTCACAGAAAGTGACAATATAATGTCATAGGTACAGATCTCTGTTAATATTCCAGAGCCCTGACACCAATTTCTCATTCTGAAGCTAGTTAATTGTTCTGTAGTATAATGGAAGGGATACAGTGTGAGGCTAAATAAGTACAAAAAATTGTGAAGCCAAACTGCCGGAATTCGCATGCTGGTTTCACCACTTATTAGTTCTGTGACCTTGGACAAGTTACTTATCTGTAAAATGGGAGTAATTATAGTACCTTTCTCATATGGCATTTATGTGGCTCATATGAATACATACACACAGGCATTCTAGAACAGTGTCTGGCACAAAATAAGTTACTGTGTAACTGTTAGCTTTATTAGTGTTGTTACTTAGCATAGAGTCCCCACAGCAGAGACCAGGGCACGGGCTGATGTTAGGGGGCAAAATCACATGTCAGTGTGGTTATAGAATAAGTTACAGACTGTTTGCTTTCACAGAAGAAAATGGAAAACAGGGAAAGGAGAGTCAGTGCTGTTAGGTCTGTGTTTGGAACTATAGAAGCAAGAGAATAACAAATCTTGTAACTCATGGACAGTTACTCTAGGCTTGACATCAGTTGTGTTTCATTTATTCTGCCGATGGACAGAAAAAGCTTGGGTTAATAAGTATAAGGCTTTGCAAAGAGTCAAATGGTTCTGCACTCCATATACTGACTCACTTAACAAGAAATCGCTTTTGGTGACTTGTATACTGAGAAGGTTTTATCTAGAGATTGGCTCATAAATTGAGAAATTAGGGCAAAAATTAAAAATATAATAAATGAAGCATGTATGGTATCCATCCCACACTGCAATAAGATTTGATCGTCCCTGTTATATTTTATAGTTTGATGCTATGTAATCTATCAGAATTTTATTAATCCCACTTACACAGGCAGCCATCTGGACCTTCTCTAAGCAAGACCAGACCAGGATACAACTAAAATGATTGATGGGCTCTGGAATTGATTAGTTGTTCTGTGAGA